ATCCGTAAGGTACGGAGTAAAGGTAGAGAAAGAGGAGATGCGGCGGGCGGGCAACGGGAAGGTTCCAAGCGAGGAAAGCGGGATGGGGAAGCCAAGGAGATTTGACGAGATGGGCACCCGGTCGGGTTGGTAGGCGGTCCACGCGAGATGCCTTTGGTGTCCTCGGACAAGACTTTTGGGCACTTGTACTGCAGTGTCTGCGGAAGGCGACAGCGGTACGAGTGGATCACAGGATGCTTCGCAGGTTAATTCTGGGGTGCGAGACGTGGGCGTGGGTTTTGGGCGTGCGGGCGGGCGCGTGAATAAGTGTGTGAGGCGTCTTTACGAATACCTGTAAGCCTGTAATACCTGAGGTAAGGCAGGTGAAGTCGGGTGTGAGGTGAATGAGGCGCTCCTGCCTGCCCTGGTGCGGCGTACTTGTGTGAGGGCTCCGATGGGTTCCCTCCCGGCGCAGATTGTCCAGCGAGCCGAGCTTCGAAGACAACCCGACCTTTGACACCTCACACCTCAGACCTCATACCCGACCTCACACTTCAATCATCAGGCCGCAGACCAAAGATTGGGCCAGTGAGAGAAGGAACGGGCCGTTGATCGTTGGACGAAAGCTGCCTGTCCCGTCGCAGCTCAGGTAGAGGTACTCCGTACGGAGTGGTGTCTGCTTCAGGATCCCTCCCATCTTCACCTCAGACTTTGGACGAGAGTCGCAGTGATCCATGGGTGATTCAGTGAATGAAAACAACCGCCCTGGAGCTTATTTGGCTGAGGCCACCGGGTGATCGTAACGGCTCGATGAAGTTTCAATTCACTCGGCTCCATCTGCCGTCTATCCGAATGTGGTCTGGTAGGAGGCCTCAAGCTAACGATCTATCTCCTGGAATACTGAGTATACTACTTATTAGCAGTTGCAATTCCACATACAACTAGAATGGCCATTTCCCGTATCGTGATACGTATCATGATGCGGGCCATGTTGCCAGGTACGGTGGATGAGGTGCTCGCTGGCGGGGAAGTGTGGGAAGTAAGAGGACCACGGAGATCGCATTGTGGCAAGTGCCAGGTGAGAGTCTGAGAGAGAGGAGGGTATCTGGAGAAACACCTGATTGAGCGAGACAAGTGATTGGCACACATCTGCTGCAGAGCTCTGCAGACCTGGTAGGGCGGGCGCCAGGCCAGGGGTCCAGGGCAACCTATCCGGTACCAAAAGAATATCCGTAGGCAGGGGTCCAACATGGGGCTCCGTCGGCCCCTACCTTATCCTGAGGTCCCAGAGCTCTCAGTGAGAGTTGAGGTACCAAGATAGTGTACCTACGGAGTAGAGATAGGCAGATCACCAAGTCATTGCATGTGCGTGTGTGGGTGTGCGAGTGAGTGAGAACAGGCTGATCAGCAGCAGGAGGTGAAGTGGCAGGCCAGAGAAACATAAACTTGAAGCACGTCTCGAACTCGACCTGTTGCTGACTTTGCTCCTGCCGCCTGCCGCACCCGCGCTCCGCCCTGTCCGCCGCTCTCCACCCGACCGGTTTAAACATGGCGTTTCCGGACCCCAATCTGGCCTAGTTTCCACTGGAACTAAGGTGAAAGGCCCTCCCACCTGAAGCTCTCTTCCCTGCAAATCGAAGGTTCTACCCTATTAATTAACGTGCCAATGAGAAAAAACGGTTGGGTCTAACCGCCTATGGCAAAAATACCAGCCAAAAAGCTAAAGAAAGAGGTGTCACCGTGTCATGTCTTTCCTTGGACCTTGCCTTTTTACTGTAAAGCCATCTCTTTGCATATACCGACCGTCTTGGACGTCTTCATAAACGCATCTGCAGGATGCAGAATCGCCTTGCTTGTACAGATACGGGGGGTAATCCCATGCAAAGCAAAGGAAATGATTGAGTGGGCTGACTTGCTGCTTCTGCAGGTAAACAAGTCAGAGAAGAAAGAAACAAGAAAAGAAAACGAGTCATATGGCTCTTGTGTGGTATCAAACCACAGCCACAGCGATGACACAAAACATCGTCCTCAATCAAAACGAGGAAACCGCATGAGCATCGCCCTCCTTTATGTCCGCTGCGGTCTGTTGTTCATATGACTGACCAGATGGTGGGTTTTCAGGGGTCTGGTGCCCCCATCTTCTCAGAGGAAGAAAGAACAACAGTGTATCAGTGCCTCATCCAGGTCCCCCCGTTCGTGCCGTCCCAACGGGCTCGGCAATGGGTCTTGACAGTCACCACCACCCACTGGGTGAGTGTGAGACTGCCCATTTGTTCGCCAAACCGCCGTGCCGAGCTTGAGGAGCTGAGGAGCTGCAGATGTCCTAACGCTTTTGGACGGTGGACGCGTACGCTTGCCAAGAGGGAAGGAAAACCTTGGCTTCTTGGCTTTGCGGTCTTTTGGTGCCGTCATATCCACCCCAGAGCCTTGTCCCGTTCAAAGACGGCGCAAGGAAAAAAAAAAAAGAAACACATAACACCGTGATTCACTACTAACACAATCGGTATGACCGTTGAAGGGAAGAAAAGATTGGTACCGCCGCACCGGTGGCTTCTCTTTCCACATCCGGTCTTCATGGGCGGGATACCGAAATTGTACAGCCACCAAACGGTTTATATTTGTACAAAACCAAGCGAACGATCAGAGTCCTGACTCTGAGAACACATACGGACACTATCGAATTAAACAACCAGTGGTGATCATACCCCCTGCTCCCCTGCTCCGCCCTATCAACTTATGCAACGGCGACTCCCTATCCCATGTGTGAATGCCCAGAAACTTTACCACCAGATGCCACTGCCGAGAGCCCGGCATCCCGGCCGAGACCCTCTTTTTCTTTTCGGTTGCTCATCGTCGCTCCAACTTCCTTCGCTCCTTCCGTTGAGTGCTGACATCCTTGGTCCCCTCCTCTTTGTGGTTTACGGATACCTTGCCTTTCCTGACTAGCATTGGACCATCAGCCACATGGCTGGCATTGGGTTGATGCGACTGGAACCAATACAGGAACTGGAACCCTTTGCGCGTGAACAGCGATCCGCGGGCCCGAGAACAGGACCCTTTCTTAAGGAGACACAAGGGGGGACCATCCATGATCCAACCAAGATACGGTTGGACCAAATGGGAACATAATGAGCAGAAGAGGGGGGCCACACGGGGAGGACGAGAAGGGACCCTTCCAGGTTGAGTGAACCCTTTCCGCGTTATTCACTGGCAAGACTGGGTTCCCGGGATGTCCAAGGATGGACGGCAAATGTCTGAGGCGTAGCGTTTCTTGGTGCGAATGGGTTAGATGGGTATTCCGTACGGATATACCGTATCTTACACGTAACGCGCGTGTACTATGTGTAGCTGTCAGCGAATCGCCGGACACATGAACCCGGGAGCGAGCGAGCAAGACCAAGAGAGAGCCACTCAATCAGTTCACGCTGAGCCTCCGAGGTTGTGTCCTGCGCCTCGACGAGGTATGATCCCAGCAGCAGCACCACCTGGAATAAACATTGGGATTGGATTGTGACCGACGGGAGACATAACCCACGCCCCATCTCATCTCATCTCACCTATCCCACACCTACTTACTTCCTTCCTTCACATCCCACGCACCACTTCCGCGCAACCCCTTGCACCTTTCAACTTGCAACCTTCACTCTCTTTCCTCTATTTTTTCCATTCCTCACTTTTGCGCCGCCATTCGCAAATCGTCAATTTCTTCCTTTCGTTGATAATCACAACCTTTCTAATCAACAAGCCATCATGTCTCAATACCCTCCCCAGCAGCAGTAAGTTCTCTCAGCCCTCATCACCTCCAGCGTGCCCGCGCTCGCCTTCCTTCTTCACTCGGATGGGCCTGGCTGGACCAGTAAAGCCAGCCTCACCTTTCCCAATCCTCACAAGAACCCTCAAAAACTGACAAGTCCTCTTCTTCTTCTTCTTCAAGGCCCTACTACGGCTCTCCCCCGCCTCCCCAGGGCGGCTACCCTCCCCAGGGCTACCCTCCTCCCGGCCAGCAGCCCGTAAGTTCAATCCAAATACCGTCCCTTCGATTTGCGAACGCTTCATACTGATGCCGACCTATTAGATGTACTACCCTCCCCAGGGCCAGGCTCCCCCTCCCCAGGAGGAGAAGAAGGATGACAAGGGCTGCCTCTACGGCTGGTAAGTCCCACCTCCATCCAGCCTTGCGACCACCATGCGCGCGCGCGCAAGGCCTACTCTACAAGACAAATACTGACCTCGCAAAAATACAGCATCGCCACTCTCTGCTGCTGCTGGCTCTGCGGAGAGACCTGCGAGTGCTGCCTCGAGTGCCTGACCTGCTGCTTCTAATCCACCACACGAGAGCACACACACACACAAGCACACGTGTAACACGCCAAGCAGACGAAAAGGAGAAAAGAGCAGCAACATCCGAACAAAGCGATTGATACCGAGTGCGACCAAAGCAACAAAAACAAACTTACAACAACACAAAGATACCAAACCCCCGAACGCGATCACGGCCTTTATTTGGAGAACGGGAAACGGAATGGGGGAATGGGTGGAACGGGGAGGTTGTTTAACTCGGCAGAAAGACGGATTGCTTTCTTTCTCTCCTTCCTAACTTCCCCCCTTTCTTTGCGATGCGGCCTTCTTTTACCCCCATTCACACAACCTCACGTTAGTTTGTTCACTTGAGCATTGAGAGACATTCTTGCTCTCACGATTACCCCACATGGCGATTGCGTTTCGCTCATTTCCTTGTCGTTTCTGGGATAGGAGGTTTTTCGGACTTTTTGCTTGGTGAGGAGGAGGAACTTTGACGTAAGAAGATCACCTCAGTCATTAGCAGAGTAAATACACGGAAAAAAGAACCCACCCATCTGTCAAATGTTTTCTGTATCAGGCAGGGCCAATTGTGAAAATGTGTGAAAGAATCTGTGTCAAAAGCTGTCAATCAATGTCTTGCATTTATTGTGTCATGTGTGTGATTGTGATGTGTATTGCCAAGTCGTTTTCCTCCACTTTCAAAGCACCCATACCCATCCTCTCTCACTGTGCCTTATGAGGAAAGGGTATCAAGGCGGCAGTGTATGTGCTTTTCCCCTTCCCCCCACCCATTGGACCCAAAATCAAAGAAAGATCGCCCCGCCAAACCGTTTGTCACTGCTCCTGCTCCTGCTGCTGCTGCTTGCGTTTCCAGATTCTTGTTCCTACTTCTTGGGATCCTTCGGAGCCATGAGCTGGACGAATTCTTGATCTGTTGTGTTTTTGCAAGTGCAATGTCAGCTGCAATCCTCCGAAAGTGATGGTGCTAATTAAAGAAACATTGAGTGGGGGCGGGGTGGCAAGCGAAATGCGAATGGGGCTGGTGATGCAGGGCCATTCCGGTGGGCGAGGGACGCGACGGCCGTAGTGATGCGATCGCGGCATGGGTACGGATTCAGAGCTTTGGAGCTTTGGAGTTGCTTACAATCAATAGAACCGTTGCCGTCGAGATCGGCCCCTCTGATCATCTCCTCAATCTCCTCGTCGGTGGCGCGCTGACCGAGAGACAGCAGCACCTGGCGCAGTTCCGAAGGCGAGACTGAGCCGCTGTTGTCCTTGTCAAAGACCTTGAAGGCTGCGACGAGCTCGGTGTTGGTGTCCGAGTCTTTGCTTGACGGCGCAGGTGCCTCGCTCATGAGTTGAAGGAATTCTACACTCGTTGTTAGCCGCGGAGGATCAGGTATGCTACAGCAAAGGCCATGGCGACTGTGTTTCCAGTCGCGCCACGGCTGAACATTCGGGCGCACCTTCGAAATCAATTCCACCGTCGTTGTTGGGGTCGACCTCGGCGATGAGCTCGTTGACCTCCTTGATGCTGGGGTTCAGACCAAGAGATTGCATGGCAATCTGGAACTCCTCCGCGTTGATGGCGCCTAGAGACGCAACCCTAGTTAGCTGGTTGAGCTGATAATCCAGTGGAAAATGGCAAGCCTGGCAGTTTGGTTCGGTATGGGCAGCGCAGGGCTGTTGTGCGCGTTGAGTCGGGAGTACTCACCGGTGCCATCGCGATCCTGTCAGGGAAGAAACACCACTGTCAGCGAGGAGTTCATCCCAAGGAGAACAATGCACAATAATGCCATTGTCGGGGTAGGCACGTGGGAGGCAGGGTTCTTGCAACTTACAAAGATGGAAAAGACCTGCTTGTAGTCTTTGTACTGCTCCTCAGTGAGGCCGTAGGGTGGAGGAGCCTACATGGTGATTGAAGTCAAAATGTTAGTCTTGTGATGCTGGCGAAGAGAAAGCTATATCGGAGCTGCGACGTGAGGGGCAGCATCATGGGTCGCGACTGAAAACGCACCATTTTTGAGTTCTGCGGGGTCGAGAAACGAGCGTGTGTCGTGGACGGATTAGGTATGTTGACGAAGCTACGGCGAGCTTCCGGACGATTGGCGAAAAGTATAGTCTAATGCGTAGGTCGTTTCTTATAGGTGATGGCGCGCGACGAGCAAGAAGAATCGTGTGTTGACGTTGGAGTGAAGATTCAAGGCAGGAGGGCAAGGTAGGCAAGGTAATAGGTGGGAGGGGAGAAAAACAAGAGTCGAGGAATGGTAGCCCCTCGTTCTCTCGCCTGGCCTCAGCCTGATTGAATGGTTCTACATTTTTAGTGCTGGGCTACCTTGCTCCCACCTGTTTTTTGCTGTGAAGAGCAAGGTACCTGCACATGGATGCCGATGGGCTGGATGCCGATACCGAGAAGCAGCGTGCCATCCCTCTGGCAGCCCTGGCTTGAGACTGAGCTGATGCTGGTTTGCTCCGTCCCTAGCTTCGTATTACTTTATTTTAGTCAGTTGTAGCAACATCAAGCCCGGTCCAGATCCAGTTCCAGGCTGCGACGCCAAAGACCCAAAGACCCAAAGACCCAAAGTGTGGTAAGGTTGACAGATGTCTGCCAGCTGAACCTGCATCGTTGAGACACCTACATGTTGTACCTTACCTGTGCAAAAACTGCCTTACCTAAGAAACTGCCATACTGGACATGATACGGAGTACCTAAGATGCTAAGGTAGGTAGTGTAGATACCCTGTGCACCCTGATCACCACCAGCATGTGAGGTATGACGCCAGGCTGCCCTACAGCACCATCTAGCGCCTGCATGGCCTGGGAAAGTCTTGGCATCTGAGTCTATTTCCGCCCGCGGACCTGCAAGCGTACGCGGCCACATCCACATCGCCGTTGCTCAAAAAGGATTACCGTAGAAACTCGAGCAACTGAACTTGCGCTAGCCCGTGCCAGCCCTGCTAGCGCTATGGCAGAATCGTAATACTGCCTAAAGTGGTTAAATGCGGCCGCCACCTATTTTTGGCGTAGGTTAACATTTCGATCGATCTGACCAATGAGAGCTCGCCGTCGAGGCCGGACCCACAATTGATATAATTCAATAATTATTTTGGCTTTCTCGTCGGTTTTGAGCTTTTCTCGTCGAATTGGCAAAAAGGGCAAAAGTGTCAATTGGAAGCAGTCGTACGTAAGCAACCGAGCCCCTGACTGTCCCCTGGCCCACTGCCTCCAACGGGCCCCTATTCATACGGCGGTTGGACTGTCGGGTCGACGAACTGCCCATTGATGCCATCACGGACTTCCTCTGCTGTGAAAATGTACTCTAACCCGTCGTTCAGAACAGCGAAGTCTGGAATCTCCTCTTGCAGCGTCTCCTGCTCAATGTGGGCTTCTACGTCGAAGAGCTCCCACCCAGTGTAATCGATGGCCTCGGCGGGCACGTCTTTGATCCGGATCTCGTCGACCTGGCTGCCATCGGGCCGAATAGATATTCCGCACTGCAGGAAGGCCTGGCTGACCATTGAGCCCTTCTCGTGGGCCAATTTAGCGGCTGCCGTCTCGACTGTTTTGGTGACCATTATTCTCTTCATACCCGTCTCCCACTTGAGCTCCTCCTGCTTATTCAGCGCTTTTTCTTCCTCGTCGAGTACGTAAGCGTCGGTTGCTTCTGAAAGCCACTGCTTGAAGGGCTTATTGACTGCGGTATCGAGAGGTTGGAGGAGGGAAGTGGTCCCTGGCGGTATGAGGCAGGGTGTGATGTGGTGCTGACGTAATAGCGCAAGGATGGAATCTGTCTTATGGAAGGAAGCGACATCCATTACCAATAGGTACTCGTCTCCCTTAGTCAGCGCTACCAATTCCTCTTCAATCCATCTTTTGAACAAGTACTCATTGTTGTAGGCAGTCTTGTTGAACTCAACTGTCACTCCTTCTGCGTATAATAGGCCCTCTTTTTTCCATAATTGACCCCCTTCCTCTGCGGGCTTGCCGTGGAATATTATTTTCGGTTTAATTCGTTGTATGCCGTCGGCGAAGATGTAGAGTATTAATGTGGCCTGCCGCTTGCCCCAACCGCTGCGGTCGCTCTTGCCAGCCACGGTTTTGGCCCCGACGTCGTCGTATGTGTAACCGTCTAGGTATTCGAAAGGAACTGGGGTCTCGTCGAGGTTGAGAATTCGCGAGTTAGGAAATCGACGGGCTGGACTTCCGAGTAAATCTCCGACGTTAGACCGCTTCACCTTAGCCAGGGCCATTTGATTAACTCGTCGGATAAAGGAAAGAAAGCTGTTGACAACTTTGAAGTACTCAGTGGGTAACTTCGTTGCCTGTTTGGTAAGTCGACGTCGGGTAATTCTCATACGATTCTGGAAGCCACGAAACCAACCGGGGGAAAAAATAAAAAGATGTTTGCTGTTCGGGTTCTGCTGGGCGAAAATCCGCTTAGCGGTCCTTTTGAACCAACTGGTACTAACGAGCTTTCCCTCACTTCGTCGCTGGCGGAAGGCGCCGTATAGCGCTGTCTCGAGCTCTGGCCACTGAGGGTGGTAGGCGTAGTTGGAGGACCGATTGACGATTGACTCGCGGTTCTGATACCAGGAGATAACCGTGCTTCGAGGGACTTTGAACCAATCTGCGGCTTCCTGGTATGTGGGACGTCTGTATATCCCTGGGAGCTCGGTCTCGCCCTGGCGCAGCCTCGGGGGGCAAATCGACTCTTCGTCGAGCTTCCTCACGCGGTGATGCTCTAAAAACATCAGGACGTTGACTTTGGTATCGTGGGTATAGTGGTGCTGGCGGCGCTTGATTGGGCCACTTCGCGGTGTATATTTCCGGTCTTTGATGGGGGTAGGAGCAGGCCCGCGGCGCTTAGCTGCTGGAGGTGTAATTGGCACTTTTGCCGTATTCGAATCCTTCTCGGCAAGGGCCCGTCGTGAGGGCATCGTGGGCACGTCGACGAGGCCCGTGGTGGAGGTGTAATTGGAGGTATAATTGACAGTATAATTGGTGGTCAAATCGGTGATGTAATCGGTGGAAGTGGGCAGTTGGGTAGGAGTAAAAAATGGAAAATAATCACTTACCGCCTTCCGTATACGGTTTAGTCGATTATATAATCGGATAAAACTGATCCCTCGAAAGGGCTTAGTGTGGGCCGCTAGCAGGGCTGGCACGGGCTAGCGCAAGTTCGAGTTGCTCGAGTTTCTACGGTAGGTCCTGTCCCGGTGCTTTGAATTGGATTCCGGGCTTGGGGGTGGGTGGCAACATCAGACAGACATATGTACAAACGATAGGATGCAGACTTGCGTGGGTAGAGTTGCAGAGAAGCGCAGGGCAGCGATCCCTCCGCCTTCCGCTCTCTCTTCCCGTCAGACCAGGTCTGGGCATGTCGTCCCTTCTCCTACTGCCGTCCGCGGGAAGGGGAGGAACTGACAGCCGCTTGGTCTTGGCGGATGATGGAGAGTCTGGCGCGAACCATACCTAACAGACTATTATGCACCTCGCTAACCCCCTGCTCCATTCAAATAAGGTGGTCTTGGTAGTATATGTCATGATTGGGCATGGTGATGTATCGAGTTCACCTCACTTCAACCGGCAATTGGGCTCATCGGCAATGATTTCCTGAGACCTGCATTCCAGCGTGGCTTGGACTTCTTCCTCCCACTGAGCCCAGGAGTAGCCACCCATTGAGTCATGGGCCATCTGTATCAGCCTTGGAGGCATCCCGACTGTTGCTTGTCGTTGGATTTGACCAACGGTGTGTGCCTCGCATCCGGAGCCCTCCCACGCTCCGCAGCAGGACCAGGCGACAAGCTCGGCAATTCATCATGACGGTTGGCTTTGTAGCCCGGAGCAAGACGTGAGAGACTGGGACTTATCTCGAACACGCGAGAGAAAGTGTAAGAGCACCTGAACCTCCCAGATTAGAATCGATGATCAGATGATGTGGAATAAGTTTCTGGAACTCCTTCTTTCTCTTCTGGAGGCCGGCGTGAATCTCAGCTGAAAACCCCAAACACTTGCCCAGAAACAGACAAAACGTCGCGCCTTTTGTGCAAGTGTAACCGAGGCCTCCTCCCTTTCACCTTCCATTCAGTTCAGTTTCCACTTACCGCCCCTCTCCTCCCCTCCAAGCTCCCCCCTCCAACCCCACCACTCTGACCTCAAGACGTCTCATCCTGGGCTGCCTCGCCCGTTGCACCTCCATCCGAGCCCATCCCTTTCCCATCTCAACCCAAGTGCTAAGGTACCTAAGCTGCCAAAATCCACGCTTCCCTCCCAGCTCTGATGTGAGCAGGAGCTTCCCGCAGTGCCGCGCTACCGTTCAAAGACCTTGGCAAGGTAGGTACCTGACGGACCCCTCCTCCTGGCTGTCCCCAATCCGACCACCCGTTTCTCTGCGCATCGCTCTCGCATCTCACCCAACTGGAACCCCACAATCTTTCTTAACACCCTTCGCATTCCATTCATATCAACTCTTTACCTTCCGAGTCCGAACTTCTGCAGCTCTTCAGACCCTCCTCTGTAGAACTCGCACCTTCCCTGGCTTGCCGGGAAGTCTCCATTTCAATAACAAAGGCTTGTTTTGAACACAGCTTATTCGCTCATAGTGGGTTTGCCCCTCACCCCGCCCTTTCCGGGGACACCACCTCATCTCACTCACAACCCAACTCACCTCTGTTCCAGCGAAGCCTGTGTAAACCAAAACACGTCTTGCACAACACTCTTCACCCTGCACAAGCACAGCGTCAATTGACTCGGCAACATGTCTGGCTACCCAGGACAGCACGGCTACGGCGGCGGCGGCGGTGGTTATGGTGGAGGAGGCTATGGTGGTGGACACCACCAGCAGGGAGGTTATGGAGGTCACCAAGGAGGAGGAGGAGGGGGAGGAGGCGGCGGCTACGGCGGATATCAACCTCCCCCCGGCCCCCTCCCTCGCACCACGGAGGCTACGGCGGCGGCGGTGGCGGCGGCTACAACCCGCCTCCCGGTCCCCCTCCGGGCCAGGGTGGCTACGGCTATAACCAAGCACCGCCCAACCCGCACCCGGACCAGGGCTACATCGGAAGGTATGCACCCCCTTCCCACCCTCCGCCTCCGGGCCTCGACGTATACGGCTACCCTGTCAATTCCGGACACCAGGGAAGACCCAGTGAGTATCACACGCCTCGCTTCTTCGAGTCTCATGAGTACTGATTCATCTCAGATATGCCAACGGTGAACTCCAACGACTGGGCTCACGGCAACCGAAACGCACCC